AAACCCTAAACCCCAGACCCACCACCACACTACAGGGAGGGGGGAGGGTGGTTAAACACTAAACCTGACACCCACAACCCACCACCACACGGAGCGGGGGATTTAAACAACTCAAAACCCCACCGCACCACAGGGGCACGAGGGGGTTAAGCAAGCCAGGGGGGGCCGGGGCGTGGGACAGCATGAGGCCACCACAGCCCCACAGGGGGGCCGCGGCGGAGAACAACCGTAAACAACCCCACCACAAACCCTAAACCCTGGGCCCAACACCCACCACCACACCGCACGGAGGGGGGAAGGAAGCACTAAGACTGAAACCCACAACCCACCACCACACCACACCACACTACAGGAGGGGGGGGTTAAATAACTAACAGGGAGACGAGCAGAGCGGGCTGGCACGCACCACAGCCAGGCGAGGGAATCCCCACGTGGGCAGAACATTGGGTCAAAGGGTTGATGGGTTAATGGGTTGGGGTTAGTAACACTGTAACACCTCCTATCCCACATACGATGCTCTATACGATACTATATACTATGCTATAGACTGTACTGTACACTATACTGTACACGACACTATATTCTACACTAAACTAATACAGTTTACTACTCTACTCTACATGTACTATACTATGCTGTACTATACAAGTGTCATATGTGAAATTCTGATACAAAATGCATATTGGATAATTTACTACAAAGCCCACGACATGATATTCCGTGCTGCCTTGCATATACTATTCTGCTAGTATACTCTTGCAAACATTGTGTGTCACAGCCTTATGCTACACTCTATATTTGAGTTAGACATATCTCATAATGGATCATACGGTATATTAATAGATTACATGTTAACAAACGCTTGGCTAGATACGATGCCATCATATCCTATACCGCATCATACCATCCACACGAATTTGCATTACGTGAAACATCTTGGTGTGACTCTTTCTGAGTTTTGACATTGTCATACTGTCCAAATAGCAGATTAAGGCATACCATGTTATATCTGATGGTACGAAATCGAATTGTGTCGTGTGGAGTAAGCATCTGGTTGCCAATTATATTAAACAAATTGCGTTACATATATAGTACAGAATACACAAAAATAATGTTTGAACCATGTCTAGTATTTCGTGCAACACAAGTGTATGACATCACAGTACATTTTTTGTGCAAAATAGCATGATGTGGCGAATCTTGCTTTAAACTAATATAGTATCGTATAGTACCTTATAACATACTCCATGATAAGGCATAATATGCCCCGATACAACATGATTTAATATGGCGTGGTATAGTAAACATTTTGATGTGATGAAATATGCAAAGATAAGATCATATCAACCCCTACTGTGCCAGTGTGCCGGAAATTCAGAACAATTGTTTGAGCAAGCTTGCGAAGCAATCTTGCAATCTCGCCCCACTTGCCCCACTTGGGAGGAGTGGGCGGCGGGCAAGATTGACAGCAAGCTTGGTCGATCTTAGTCGAAAATGTAGACTAGTCGACAAGCAAGTGGGGCAAGTGGGGTAAGATGACCAAGATTGCAAGATGACCAAGATTGCTGGCAATCTTGCTTTTGACCAAGCAAGGATTGCCAAGATTACCAAGATGGCCAAGACGGCTCCGCAAAATAATTGTCTAAGTTCCCGGCACAATGTACTGTCCTGTATTATATTCTGTTAGTGTATTGCACCATCATGTTATGTTTATACTGAAATGTTTAGTTTTACCCATTGTGTAAGTTGCAATGGGTAGTTTCCGCACAAGTCCCCTTTTGCAGCAGGCTTCTCTCGCCCGGAACTGCCGCCACCGTGAAGCCGCACAAGTCCCCTAAACCCTGACCCCTAAACCCGCAAACCCCTAAACCCTTCAACCCCTAAACCCCTTTTTGCAACTGGCCTGCTGCGA